CTTCGGCTCGTCACGGCGATAACTTAATAAAGGATATATTACAACTAAAGCAGTATAATAACCATAACTAGCGGCGATAAAGTCGCCGCACACCAACCTAATCTAGTTAAATTATAATAAACATTATATTAAAAATAATTACCTTCTAAATTATTAATATTTTATTTTTAATAAAAGTTTATTTATAAATATTATAAATAATATTAAAAAAAACTTACTAAAATATTATTAATTATTAAAAACTTTTATAAAATAAATTATATAATTTTAAATTAAAATGTAAAGAATAAATAACTTACTCCCTATATTATTTATTATAAAATATTTTTAAAATAAAGGTTTAATTAAATTTAACAGTTAAATTGTATAATAATAACAATTAATTGGCTTACAATCTAAGTATAATTTATTCGTTAAATTTTTTTTAAAAAAAATATAATAATTATTAAAGAATTATAATTTGATTTGTAAATAGATAAAAGATAAATAAAGTTTATTACCATTTAATTCTTTTAATGTAGGAACATTAGGAATATCTAGAAATGGTTCAATAATTATTTATTTAAAATAATTTGTAATAGTTTTATTAAAACCTTTAGTAAAATAATTAAATAAAATAATATTTATTATATTTACTTTTATCACTTGTATGGGATTCTATATTTCATATTTGATAAATTTAATATTTAAAATTTTAGTAAATAAAAATTAGGCAACAAATTATAGATGTATTTAATAACCTAAAGTTATATTTACCATCATCATTTCGAATGTTTAGCAAAAAGAAATCGAGTATAATTAACGAATTATAATATTGAAATATGATTAATGATATTACCTTCTAATAGAGGAGCATTTTTAGCATCCGAAATTGTCTCTAATGCGACTTTATGAAAAAAACTTAGAAAATTATCAAACAATTGGCATGTGAAGTCTCATCTATTCTATTTATTTCCTTTTCTTGTTTGGTGGAAATATTTTTTAGTTTCTTTAATACACTCTTACCTTTATTATTACTATTAGACATTGTTATATTTTATAATAAAAAAAAAAACTTTTTCAACCAAAATTTTTCTTGTATATAACGATGACAGAATGTAATGGTGATACATATTACCGCAATATGAAGTAGGAATACCTCCTGCGTGAGCTTCGCATTAAAGTTTCCAGCCATTGGACTATGACAAATAACTTAGTCACAAATAGGAGTTTAAAAATGGAAGGTGTGACACGGGATGGGGTGATAAAAATTTCACGATGATATTTACCAACGGTGATAATTGGATTTGAACAACATAAATATTTAAATTATAACATAATTAATTATATTTTTTTTTCGTCTTTAGTAAAATTTTGTAGTTAGGCATGATAACATCGCAGTTATATATAGGTCACGTTAATGTAAAGTATGGGCTAATCGCATAGTAAAAATGCCCGATTTTTTTTTTTTAATAGAAATATGTGTTATAAACTAGCATGCTTTGGTATCGAAAAGAATTGAAGCAACAAATTAACACAGTCTAAATCTTCGGTGTAATTCCTTATATTGATCTAAAAGATTTGATAGAAGGAGAAAAATTATATAAAAATAAATAGAAACAAATAAATAATAAAGAATCCAACTTTCAATCATAAGAACAACAAAATTATTTTAGTCTGAAAAATTCATATTATCAAATGAAAGTAGATTTAATGTAAAACATCAATATTTTTTTACAACTAAAATTTCACCCTATTTCATATAAACACTTAAAACTCGGAGGAATTGGGATTTCATCTCAGTTTTACATATACTAAATAATTTAAGTTTTGAAATCATTGAGATTGTTATCGTCGTACGTCATTAACCTCGAGTATTTAGACATCATCTTCAATACATTAGGGTTTTTTTTGTCTCGGGTTCTTTTTGGTGGTTCATGCTCTTTTGGAGATTTAGGATCTTGTCGTTTTCGAAAAGTACTGATTGAATTCTTCAGTTCATGAGTTGGATAGGCATAATAATTACCTCACCTCAATAAAGACTATATAATTAAGCAAATCGTTTATAATTGAAAATTAAGAAGTTTTCTTTTTTTTTTAATTAATTATTAATTCTAATTTCTTTTTTTATTATATAAAAAAATTAAAAATAAGTATAGTTTGATTATCGTTGATTTTTATAATGATAATATGATAACCTTAAATTTAAAAGTTTAAAAGCAATGCTTACTGTTTTCAATAACTTAAAAAAAAGGTATTATTTAGAAAACGATATCGCCGAATCGAAACGTATCACCTATAACGTCAATGAATTTTTTTAAAAAAGGTTCAAACGAATGTCTCTTTTCTTTTTTTTTTTTAGAAACGAATTCTTTCTTCGAATAAGGTTAGGGTTTTTCGGAAGCAGAAACAAAAGGATAAAATAAAGTAAAATAAAAAAAAAAATAAAATTTGAATATTTTGATTTTCAAATAGTTTATTTATGTCCTTAACTTGACGAAAATAATATAACTTCGAAATTTAGCAAATAATTTTTTCTGAATTACAGGTATCTCCTTTAACACCGCTTCTTTATCACTACTTTCAATTACTTACATTTTATTATAAAATTTTTAAATATCATTATCTGTAGGTCCTTCAAATTGGATGGTTTTACCTTCGCATCATTTGCCAGCTGCTAATAAACAGTAACACACCCTTTGGAACAAAAGGTTTTCTCCTAAAAAAAAGTCTTAGATTTTTTTTGTATAACGAATCAACAATTATAACAAACAATCCATTATTTTTTATGTATTTACACAACCACCAACTTTTTAGAACAAATTTAAGAATTAAGCATATATTTAGATAAACGGAAAACACCACAAGCCATCCAGATATTAATCCTTTGGAATGGTGGAATGAAAGGAAAGAAAATTTTAAATCTTATCGGCTTTAGCACGAAAATATTTGCCAATACCAGAAAGGCTTTTTAGTGATGCAGACGAACGCGTTTTGGATCAAATTTAGTTAGTAAAATGTTATTTGTAAAACGAAATAATGAATAGTTTATACGTTTAAAGAGGAATGTAAAAATTTATTTGATAATCTTGGATAAGTACAATGCTTTTTGATTTTCGTTGATTTACTCTCGTATGGAGCTTTTATTCTTAAAGGTGGGTTAAGATAAATTACCTTTGAGAATCAACATTTTTGAATTGCATAACGTATTTTATCACACGTTTTCGTTGCGAGAAGTTTTCATTCAATTTTAGGAATTGTTTAATGCTTCTAATTTTTCGAAATTGTTACGGGAAATCATCAAAGCAATTACATGACAAGCAATTCGAATTATGAACCGTCGACGCAAAGCGAAAGACAATATAAAAATTTTTGTGGTTAAGACTTCCCTAATACGGTGAATAATGACAAAATGAAATACATAAATTTTTTAGTTATTAAGATAAAAATAACAGCGCATATATCATATGTGGTGGAATTGCAACGACTAATTCGCCATTTCTATTCTTCTGATTTCATCCATTTCTTTTTGGAATCCCTGGACAGTCTTGATGACTTTGATAACATGGTCTACGGTAAAGTTTTGTCCTTGACTCTTGGCCAACGTTTGCGCGGTTTGAAGGACATTGCGGATTTCACGACCGTTCAAATAATATTCAATAAAATCATCTGCACAAAGGGGGAGGTTGCCTTTTCTGATGAAATTTGTCCATATATTGCGTCTTTCTTCCGAATTGAATTTGGGGTAATGGAAGAACATATTAATTCGTAAGCAGAACGCATCATCAAATGACATGACGCGATTTGTCGTCAAGAAGAGAATACCTGGGTAACGAAAAAAAAAGGTGACTTAATTTCTCTAATATAGAAACAATAATGAAAGGAATGACAAACGCGAAGCTTTCTAACCTCGATAATATTCCAATCGACGTAAAAATACACCAACCATCGCGTTACGTTTTATATCAGTTGTGTTACGTTTTTCAAGGTAAATATCAGCTTCATCAAGTAGGAGAACTGCCTTTCACGTATATGATATATCTAGAAGTTTGACCAATTGCTGATCCAGTCTGCGTACAAGGAATATGTAACGATGACGAAAGAATCAGTACCATGAAAACTTATAATTCAGTATGTTTTTATAACAAATTATGCACATACTCGGCAGGTTCCATCCCAAGTTCGTGTACGCTAAGCATCCATAATGACCTTTTGAGAACTTTCAGCTGTTAATGTTTTCCCAGTTCCAGGTGGCCCATAGCATAGAAAGATACAGCCATTGCCTTTATTGGTGATGGGATCGAGAGGTTTTGTGTATGAAGTCACTACACCTCCATTGGACAACTGGGTGGGTACGTAATACTGTTTCACTAACCCCTCAAGGATTTCTTTTCTATCATCGGACATCACCAGATGACTGAACGCCTCCTTGTCAAAACTAATCTCCGAAAGTTTCAAAACCTCGAATTGACCCCATTCCTTTAACGCAAAGTTGAACCCGTACACTAACGCAGGTGCGAGTTGGTAATTAGCTTTCTGATGAATTTCATCCTCATTGAGATAGATACCTTTTTCTCCGAGTAACTCAATGTCACATTTGTTTGGTGGTAGAGCATTTCCCATTTGATAGTTGAGATTCATGATTGAAAAACTTTCGAGATCAATCATGACACGACCATTGGCTCTAATCTTCTCCAACTGCATGCAATTGTTAACCCTTCGCCAGCGTAATAACGGACCTTCATAATTCATAAAGTTGCTTCCTAAGGCAAGGTCGAAAAATCGTTTTCCATTTTCAATAATAGCGTCTCGAGGAATGCGTTTGTTTTAGAAAATTTGAATGGAACGACGGGTAAATCAGAGAAGCCAACTTCACCCTTGAAGCATTCGATCTTGCGCGTTACAAAGCAACGCTTAAATCCTTTACCGTCACAGTCGATGACCTTAATTTTTATATAAAACACCCTTTTATATTCATTGTTAACAAATTCAACACGTTCGTTCTCAATATCTTTTTCTAATAGCTCATTTATATTATCATTTAGATTATTTAAAAAGGAATCAATATTTTTTTAGTATCTTTTTTTTAAGATATTTAAGATAATAGCAGCATCAAAAATCTAATAATATATAGCAATTAGTATAATAATCATGACTACAAATAAAGATTTGATATTGTTCTTATTCATTTAATAATTCATAATAATGATTGCACTATCTTAAAATAGGAGAATATTTAATATTATATCTAAGAGGTAATTTAGTTGCATCTAAAAATTCTATAGTAATAGAATCATATTGTAATTTAGATTTTTTCCTTTTTTTTTTTTTTTTTTTTTTAGAAATTAAAGTATTATATTAGATTCTTTCTGCTTAATTAATTGAAAAATACTTTAGAATTAGTCTAATAAAAAATATTAGTTTTGTAGCTAAGAAATCTAATTTAGTTAATGAATAGGGTAAATTTTTAAAATTATAGTATTCTTATTTAAAAGTGGAATACTTTTGGAAATCTTTATTAATATAAAGAAGTAAATTAAATTTTAATAATAAAATTATTTTTAAAAATATTAAATAAATAGATTACCTAATAGATAAGCTTATTATTGTATAGTTATATCATTATTTTTAGAGAAGATAGTAGTTCAGATTTGAGAATGTATATTTTCTACCCAAAATTATTAAAATTAATTAAATAATTTACTATTACTTTTTTTATAGGATGTCTCGTTTCTTCTCAATAAAATATATCAGACAAATAAGCTAATGATACTTTATTGTAGTTTTTTTTATTTCATCTAAAAGCAAATGTCTAAATTCTAAAGATTTTTTTGATATATTCATTAAAAATATCAGAATAAAATAGCATAGCATAAATATCAAGGATAGCAGATATTATATTATCTAATAGATCTATTAATATTAAATATTCAGGATTTTTTGTATTTTTAAACTTATTAATAATTTGAATTTTAATATTTTTCTATCCCTTTTGTAAAAGTTTTAATAATAGATTGATTTTTCAATATTTAGATATTTTTGTTAAAACCTTTTAAGTTTCAAAGATACTATGAAATATCTTTTCAATGTATGAGTAATATACTTTTACAATTTATTCACGAATATTTAAAGAAATATATAATAGGTCAAGTATAGGTAAAAATGATTTGATTTCTAATTTAATATTTTTACATTTTGTAGTTATATAATAGTTTATAGATAAAGGGTTATTTTATATAATTTGTAATAATTAGTATAACATACTCATTAAAATATTCATTATGTTCAAAAATTATATCTAATCCTTTTAAATAATCTTTTAAAGAATATAATTGTTATTCTTGAATTTTTACTAATATAGTTTCTTTTATTTTGCATTTTCTTTTCTTTTTATAATAGCATCTTTATATATATAAAGTATAAATTATTCAATTAAATTAAAGAATGTAAAATTTTTTTTTTTTATCTATTCATTTTTTTTTGTTGTATAAGATATATTTAACTACTTTTGATAAACATTTATTAGTCTTTAATGAGTTAATATCTAATCTATATTTATTGGATTATAAACTAATATTTCATTATATATAATTAATATATAGTTACAATTTTCAATCTTTTTATTTAAACAAATAGCTATATGAATAGCTTTATTTAACATTATATTATCTGAACGTCTTTTTTGTATATATTATGATAATTATTCAAATTATATATAAGTAAGTTTTCTTTTTATAATATTTTTTTTTAATTAGTTTTTAATTAATATTTTATTAATTCTATTAGAATATTATATTGATATTCATTTTTTTGATAATATAATATCATATAAGTTATTATAATTCTAGTATTACTTAAAATATTTAATACTTCTGAAGATAATCTGCAGGTATTTAAATATATATCTAATTTAATTTTAATAGATATTTATTTGCATATTTCGAATACTAGCTATAAGATATAATTGTAATAATTTTTTTATTTTCATTTTTTTGATATTTTTTTCAATCTTTAGGTAATAATATATTATAAATTTCATTTAAAAATTATTAATATCGATATCACTTTCAATAAAATAATGATTAAATTCTTTAGAATCAAGAATAAGATCCATAGATTCTTTATATTACATTTGATGCCATTTTTTGAATTTTAGAAGCTAGAGATATTTCTTTAAAAGATAATTTAGGTTCCAAATTATCTTTATAATTCTGATGTATTTTATTATTTTCTATAATAGATATATAATAAGGAAAACAAATAATATCATATAATTATAAATTAGGATAAAAAATTAATATTTTATGATCTTTTGCTTATTAAAAGCTATTTTTAGTTAATCTTCAAAAATCTGAAAAATTTTTGAAATATTAGTAAACAAAACAAAGGTTAAGCAACTTTTAAAATAGCATTTATTATGTATTTTAAAATTTTTTATTGATCATAAAAAATAAATTAAAATAAAACATCATCAAAATTTTAATCACGTGATTTAATTTTCAACTAATAAAATTAAGAGCATCTTAATCTAGGGTGAAGGTATAAACTTTTTCTTAAACTGAATGTACTTTAAGATTTGATGAGTTTTATTAGCCTGATTTATTTGTATTACATATATCTTAGAATTTTCATGATATTTTCAAAGAAAAATATAATGAAGAAATACTCAATTTAAAATAAATTTTACAGTATTTAGTGCAGTATTTTAATGAAAAGTGAAAAAAATAATTCTTGCAATCTTTTTTTTTTATTTTAGAAAAATTTATTATTAAATAAAATATATGTTTTATTCTTTTTGCTAAAAATAATTATTTATTGAGTAAAAAAACTTATTAAATATATAATTTAACATTTTACTATATCTTTTACTAATAAAATATAATAGTTATGTAAGCTTCTATAATTATAAAGCAGTTGCCATAGCAATAGACTATCTTAACAAAATAGTATATTAATATTTATTTATTTATTATATTTTTATTATAAGTTTTCAATAAAAATATTTTAGCATATTTTATATTTAAAAATTGGTTTAACTATAGAATAAAAATAAATAAAATAAAATAAAACCTGTAAAAAAGAAATAACTTACTTTTCTAAAATAAAACTTATAGTAAATGGAGTAGTAAATGAAGTGAGCTGTAAAAAAAAAAATTAAAAAAAATAATCTCTTATTTACAGTATATTAGATCTTATTATATACTCTACCCTACCTTAGGTTAAGGATGCTCTAACAAAAATTAGCCAATAATTAAGACTTTTATCTATGCTGCATTTCTTGCAAGACACTTTTATAAAGTTCTTAGGAAAAGTTTACAAGCAAAATTTCATATTTTATTGATAAATAGACGTTGGTTTAATGATTTAAAGTTTATTATTATTGATGAAAAATTGGGTTTATTGAATGTGCTATCAATTGTTAAAGATAATAATTCTACATTAACAGTTCATAAAGGAATAAAATTTTGATTATATATTTCAAGTCTGTGACGATCATATTTATACAGAAAATCTTCAAAATATTGTTTCTGTTAAAGTAAAATATGAAAGTTCTTGGAATTGCAAGAAGAGCTTTAGATTTAACATAAAAATTAAATTGTCACAATGAGTTAAATGGAATACTACAAAACTTTATAGATGAAAAATAGTAAAAACTTTAAGAACATCAGATCTCTGATAAAGAAAATATTGAAAATAATCATCAATGAGAAAATGAATCTAATATTATTTGTTCTAATTCAATCATTTTAAGGAGACATGACGTCTTCCAAATTGATATCTGAGTGAAGGAGAAATAGCAAGAAAAAGTAAGAAGCAAAAGGTATTAATTTAGCATTAAAATATATCACGAACAAGAAGACAGTTAATGAAGTTAATAATAATGGAAATAATAAAAAACAAAGAAAATATAAAGAGTGTCAAAGTTTTATAGATCATGATTTGCAAAATTGTAAAAGTTCTTAACGAAAAATTAATTGTTAGTTTTAGTAGAATTTTCAAGGATTAATTGTTAATTGTTAATAATGCGTTGACTGCAATAATCATATAATTTATTAATATCAGTGAAATTACTTGCGATGATAATTATTTTAAATTACTTGCATAATATATAATTTTAAAGTCTGCTTGATATTTATTATCTTTTACTACTACAGTATAATATTGCAAATTAAATATTTTTATCATAACGAAGCTTTTCATTCTTCTTCTTTGTACTTGTTTTACCCTTATTGTGTCTATTTTTACACTCTCATCATATTTATACAAGGTTTTCTACATTTCTTTTATATACTATATTATCAATACCTCTTATGAACGAATAACATTTTTTTCTTTTCATCCAAAGTTTTTAAAGTATTAAAATAGATATGAACAGTTCATAATTCAATTTTAACTATTTCTTTAGACCTGGTAGTATTTGCAAAAATTGCATAGCTAGCACTTCTATTATACTGTCCTTTGTTGATAATCTTCGATTCAAGCTGTTCTGAAATTAAATAGAACTCTTATTATATATAAAGCTTAATTTATCAGATTCCATAGTGGTGTATAATGAATTATTAATTAAAAAAAGGTTTGCTAATTATTTTTTAGAAAGATATCCTTACTGAATTATATATCAACAATTTAGAAAAGTTATCACGTCTGTTCATGTCTTTTCATATCAAACCTTTTATTTTAAATGTGATAGATAAATTAATTAAAATTAATTGCTTACTTACAGTATATATATTTAATATAGACATTACAGT